AAGATGACATGCGAGCTGCGTCACTGGACAGCAACTATAACAAAGTTCTCTCGTCAGTAATTACAGTTAAATAGGAAGTTTGAGTGAAAATTAAACTAATATAATTTTTGATGAGAATAACGGAGAGAATGAAATGGCTGTAAACAGATGGAAATTTAAATGGTAGCAAAGATGGCAATTTATATAAGAGAAGCATAACACCAGGCAATGTTTTTACAAGACAAAAACTTTTATTACATTTTTTTATTATATGATTTTACATCCCAAAAACTTTCATTATATTTTCAAGTTAGGTTGTCGTTCGGTGTGTTGATTGTTCTGCTAATTATATCAAAATTTCTAATCAAAAATATTCAACTTGTATCTAGAAATTTTCTGACATTAAATAACCTTTAATATTGGTGAGCGTGTAATATATAAATGACATATTTTATGCAACAGTAAATATTATTTATGAAGGATATATAAACAAGCAATCCATGTAAAATCTAGGCCTCACTGCTCCGGTATTCATAGCCCAAGATCTTTTATTTTAGGAATGAGTTCTTTTATTACTGCGGGTTTGTCATCTCAATTATATGAGGTTTCACCCCTCATCATAAATGAATGTGACCGATCACTCAAAATTTCCGGCGCTACGTTTCACTTTTCGAAGAGCCTCCACCTGCTCATTTTTCTATATCCAACTTCATTCTTTCAGGCGTGACTTCTTCAATATTTAGTTTCAAATGTCTGATAATTTTATTGTTTACTATACTTATAACTTTTGGGATGAACTATGAACTTTTGTACTTGATTTCACCATTATGTAAGTTCAGGTCTCCTCACATATTTTAGGCCTAAGTCCCCATTATTTTAGGCTTATCTCCACCATTTCTGTCTTGACTAATAAATTATATTTCAAGATAAGAGTTGGAATTGCTTGATATGGTCGGATCATGTATGGCCAACTTTTGGTCTCTAAAAAACCTCCGTTGGTCCTGCCCCCATTTTTTAAAGACGGAGCTTGACACTTAGGTTGTTTACTTAAGAAATTGTTCCACTTGAATGATGCCTTCAGCCCGGGCGATTGCGTGACAGAGCTGTTCTGCTTCATCATGCTCGGTCAGAGTGACCAGAGCTGAGACAAACATCCAGAGCAGCGATAATTGAGCAGCAAAATTGAGATAATTCTTCGTTGCATCCTCTTCAGTCTGAGCCAAACTTACAGAGTATCCAGAGCGAAAAAAACTTCCAGAGTCTCTAGCGCGATAAAAAATTACAAAGTTACCAGAGCAAGACAAACTTCCAGAGGATCCAGAGCGAGACAGACTTACAGAGCTGCCAGTGCAAAACAAACTACCAATGTATTTAGCACGGGAAAGCTTACTGAGCATCCTAAGCGAACAATCTTCCATAGTTTTCAGAGCGTGACAAACTTACAGAGAATCCAAGCGAGACAAAGTTACAGAGCTTCCAGAGCGAGACAAACTTACAGAGCATGCAGAGCGAGACAAACTTACAGAGCATGCAGAGCGAGACAAACTTACAGAGCATGCAGAGCGAGACAAACTTACAGAGCATCCAAAGCGAGACAAATTTACAGAGCATACAGAGCGAGCCAAACTTCTATGGTTTCCAGAGCGAGACAAACTTACAGAGCTTCCAGAGTTGGAGTTGGTCGGTATCAATTCAGCTAGCCCTAAATTTTCAACAAAAATTCCTGTTGGGACTTAATTCATTTCATGTGTTCAGTCGCAATAAAAACTGGATTCGCTATAGCAAGTGTTTTAAAATCTTAAAATCGTTTACAGTTGGTGTAAAAACTCGTGTTTTGCCATGCATCATAATCAGTCAATTGGTTTCTGCACAGTTTGAATCATCATAATCGGTATGTTATACAATTATTATTACTCTTTTCTTTTGGTAGAGAAGCATCGAATCCTTCGATAAGTGATGATAAGTTGAGGTGCTATTTTCAATTTTTTTATCACAATATTTTTTCATGCTCGTAAGAGTCTAGAGAAATTTATGACCCCTATCACGGTCATGTAATAATAAAATAAGACATTTCATGAAAGAAAATATGAGTAAAACATTCACAGAAATTCTTGACCGCATGAGCAGTTAACAAATTTTCTGAGCAGTGTAGTCAGAATTGAGGTAACGATATAATTGGCATCCACGAGGCACTCTTCGGTGATCATTTGGCTCTCGAAGGCCGGCGCTGCTCAGCTGCCGTCACAATGACGTGCTAGGAACGCTGGATCCCGAGGACCTCTTCACTGGATAAAAAATTACGGATTCTGACGAGGCTCTCGAAAGTCGGGCGCCTTTTCACAGAGTCGAAACACTCGTGCGTGGTGATCATTGAGTGTAATTTATGGTGCGCTTCGAGAATTCAACTGAGATGTTCGCCGGGACTCTTGAATGTTGAGAGCTTTTCCATGCATTCAAAAGACGCAAGCTGTGAACAAATTATTTATGGTTCAGTTTTCGGTGAATGTTGGCTGGATTATTGCAGCTAGGCTAGGCGCTATAGTTTGGCTCAGTCTTGTACATTTAATTGCTCTATGTTAACCATATAATTAATGAGAGAATGTTTCATGAATTCATGAATTTTACAGAAATATTAAAAATTTGTTGTAATTAATTTGTGTTCGAGAAATGTGTAGCCCTTTTTAATGTAATTCAAAAACTTTATTTAAATAAGATCATGAATATGCATTCCGCTCTGCGTAGCAGCTAGTAGCTTGTTAAATGTATCAAGATTTTTACGACGTAACTAGATTTTTCAACAAACTGATATTGAGGCTATTTTGTCTAACAAAAACACGGACATCACAACTCCATATCTATGAGTGTTTATCAATAGATACTCTCAAGTCTTTTAGGCCAACGAAATGTATACAAATTATTTTGAATTATTTTTCTTTTCCATCAATTTACCACCATTTTTACAATTTACTACAACACCTTTCAACAGTATCAGTATGAATTGTTAACAATACCAATTGACAGAGGCTAGGAGGTGCTTCTGAAATTGCACGTCTTATAACCAATATTAAAAAAATGTATTTATCTCCTACTACTTTACCAGAAACTTGACAGGACTATTTTCTCTCAAGTAACGTTTAATTTTATGTAAAACTACCCGTGTTCCAAAATATTTAACGTCATAATTATGAGACTATTCTACAGTACCTGTCGAACAATCGGGCTTGGTAACTTGACGACAAGTGTTTTTGGCCGCAAAGGCGCTGGAACAAAACTGGCGGCATTTCGAGTGCATGTGTTTACGTGCGAGCGTGTGCACGAACAATGCGCGGTGTTCGAACGTGTGTGTTCGTGACCGAGGTCTCTGTAGAGATCCCAGTGGAAATACTGTGAGAGATCTCTGGGTAAGATTTGTGCAGATCTATCGAAAGCTGTTGGTGAGTATAATAGGGATTACCATGGAAATTTCTTCTTATGATATAAGTTATTAATTTTGTATTATTAGATCTATTAGGATTTTCATTTCTTGATTCAAATTATAATTCTTGTAAATTTAGTAGACAGCCTTAAGGTGATATTTGCGGAGGTAAATTCGGAAGCTGTTGTGGAAAATCGCGTGTAGATTCTGCCAATAATCAAACTCTTATGCATTAAGAACATTCATATGAAAGTCGTCGAAAAGTCTTTTCTCGACCCAAGTAAAGATTCGCTTTGAGATGCATGTGGAGATCGACGTGGAGACCAAAATGCAGTAAACACATTCCAGTGTCACCATTGTCATACAATATTGACCTGGTCCAACACAATCACCTAAGTGATCAAATAAAAGAACTACTCCAATTTGCAGAATTTTCCTGCAGATATATTAGGTTTCCGCGAGCAATTGTCTTGTGCTATAGAAGGACGAGACGGTCGATCGGGTGTCAAATTCTATGCATTTCATGACCTGTCGTAAATAATATGCACTTGACGTCTGTCCCGTCATGTGAGAGTCTAACATAATAGGGAACATGGGAATGAGGTGGGTATGTTCATGGATTTATTCGAGAGAAAAATATTTCTGCAAAATTCACCTGTTTTCGAACACAAACGCCTGTCAAGTACAGAGATGGAAAAGCAGGATGGGTAACTCGAGCTTTAGAATCGTTTATTTTATGCACGTAGTTAGTTCATTGAAAGATTATTTTGTTCTGGTTGTCATTGGAGCCGATATTCGAATGCATGCATCGAATTTTTGGTAAGGTAAGAGAACCGTTCTTAAATAATCCAATTTTGATTCAAATTTACCTTGCCCTTTACAAGTTTTCATTCGGTGTCACATATGTAAAGTATTTATTGTTCTTTGACTTGGAAAATAAATTGTAATATTCATAACGTGAATAATATTTTCGGAAGAATTATGATATATGTAAAAGTTTTACCTTTCTCTCGGCATCAATTAAAAATTATTGAATGAACAAGCAGCTAACAAGTTCTCACAGGAATGCTGATCAAATTTTATCCATCAGTTAGAGCAATAATCATATCAAAATTTAATTGAAGCCATAAAATTGTTCGTTCAACTCGAATATCTCTCCTTCTTTCTTATATGATATACGTTTTCGTTAAATGAATAATTGGGTAAGAAATCAACACAAGGAAATAGCTTTATAAAACATTTATTGAGCAAATGTCTATGATCTTGAATCGAATTTTTGAAATTTATATAAGACCTTAGAGAAAAAGTAAGATTTATTGGCATGCATTACAAACAATCAGAGGTATCCCAACCTGCCTTATTTAGAAGTCTCCCAGACTTTAACACATTGTTATTTAAATATTTAACACATTGCTATTTTTGTCGCGTATTAGATCGTCAGGTATGTTATCCGCACCTGCATTAGTAATAAACATCATTCATCGTAAACTTCAATAGAAAATACTCAATAATTATAAGTCACTCAAATTTCTTAAATTAAATTTCTTGTAATGAAATCTGCGTGGAAAAAAATCGAAGAAAATTTTCTTAATTTCGAAAAACATAGGAAAACGCCTTTCAATGTGAAGGGCTATTGCGTATAGTCTCTCACCGGCCACCGATGTTGCGACCATTCATTCTCCTTATAAGCAGTATGACGATAATGGTAAAACAAACAGTAATTGTGCATTGATCATTTTATTTAAACCATAATTATTGTGATCTACAACACTTGAGTTGCCACTTCAATATAAAATCGGAGTGATGATGATTGCTATAGCATTTTCTGAGTTTCAGTAAAATGACAAAAATTGTGTTACCGACATCATGCAGGAGCCAATGCATGTGCCATTTATGGAAGACAGGAATGTTCGTTCTACCGAAAACTTTTCATTTTCCAGCAAATTAAGAAACTGTCATAGTCAGAATTAAAGTCACAGTTAAACTCTGCATTAATTCCTTTCAAAGTTTGTTTGTATCTCATTATGTGCCGATAGCGATATGCGATTTGGATTTTCTTAAGTTGCAAGCATTCCTCCACAGCGTTTCCTCAAAACGGGGAAGCAATACATTGCCGAATGAAGATGAAAGCCTGGAAACGAATGACCGGTATTGCATATTTTGATTCAGTGCCTGGGCAAAGCCATACCGATGAAAAGCCGGGAGACAAGAATAACATAAAATTTGAGAACAACAGAAAATAAAAACTTGATGAAACTGTTGAAGAAAACATTGCTTTGTATTCATCAGCAATCAGCATGGTTATCACCAGGGCATGTTATTTCTTCCGCACTTCCATATTTTTTTCCAGTGTTTTTGTTGACGCTGAGCCGCCAGAGAGCGATAACCTGGGACACAATATTGGACACTATCAATTAGTATCGAGTATGAAAAACTCTATTCGTCTTGATAAACATAATCATCCCTAATCAGTGGGTAAATAATACAATTATTGTTCAATTAATTATTTTGTAATCATTTTTGAAGATTGTCAATTGTATTTTATAGTTATGCGCTTCCACTATCACAACAACAATTTTCTTCACAATAATGCCAATCCCCAATATATATACCATCATCTTTCGTCTTAAATCTTCACCTTCATGAATTACTTCAGTGGCTCCTCGGCTGTTCTTGCGCACATCTTCTGAAAATATAGAATAATAATTAGACAGTGACGATGAATGTTTCATAAATCTGATTATTTAATGATGATAAAATCTTATATCGCATTAAATCAAGTTATAAACCTATTGTATTGATACGCACCAGTGCGCCGTAGAGGCCTATATAGCGCTCTTGACACCCACGTACGTCTTCTCCGTCTTGCGCCACTTGGTGCGACTGGAACCAAACCTGCACATATAACAAGTAGAGAATTTCCATCATAAGACATGATGGTTTCTGGAATACATCTTTATCTGCATGGTTCGTTATAATTAAAGTAATAAATTTTGAACAAATCTTCACGAGTAAATCTTGTTGTTTATTCTAGGTATAACCGGAACAAATATGCTCCTATAAATAACCCTATTAAGTGTCAACAACCATCTCTGCTGTCTGGTTGTACGAAAAACCAAACTCTGCCTCTTGGTTGGGCCAACTCTGGTTGTCAAAAGCTGTCTCACAAAGCTATCTACGCTCCATCTATAATACGCGACTCTCGCTTTCTCTTCCAAATGCAAACAAACGATGCAATAAAATCTGGCAACAGATTCTCTCATGAGCGCCAGAATAGCGTCCTACAACCCAAATCAGGTTTGGGTAATTCAATAGCGGTCATAATGCCGTTGCCTCCCTAGCCATTTTATCCCTAATGCTTATGAACGACAGAGAAAAATTAAATAGATCAGCTAACCTTTATTCGTAGATTATTTGTGAACAGTCAACGTATCTACGTAGAACAGTCAATGATTATCGAGTAAGCAGAACTAAATATTGCTATATATACTTAAGAGTCCAATACGCAACTTCTTAATTTGTTTTTAAATGAATCGTAGCTATTGTAGACTTCGACCGAGCATGCAGTGCACATTGCTAACCTCTTTAGTTTACACAAAATGTTTGCGTGTTTACACTTGATGTTTGTTTGTTTTTCAGTTTACTCATCATTATGTCCAAAATACCTTGACTTTCCCTTGCATTGTCAAAGAAAGTAGAATATCAGTTAAACAGCAACATAAGATCCCAACCTTCCCGTTGTTCTCAGATGTCTCCTATTCAACTTTTTCGCGAATTACTGGCAGAAATTTCCAGGAGACGTACGGAAATATTTCGTCCACGAGATAAATCCCACTGAGCCAAATGCTAATCGTGTGAGCCACGGGTGATAAATCATCACTGAGGGTCGAATTATGTCGTAAAATCGGCCGCAGAATTAGATTATAGCTGGCCGCTGATACGGCGGTCAAGCTAACCCAATAAACTCCCATGACAAATCGATGGCACCGACGCTGTGACGCTGGCTACGCGACGACAATCGTTAGGCGCATTTAATCCCGACATGTTCGCCACAAATATAGGAATATGTTTTTTTTTGCCGCAAATATAGGAATATGTTTTTTTTTGCCGCAAATATAGGAATATGGTCTTTTTTGCCACTATAATAGGAATATGATCATTTTTTGCCACAAATATGGGAATATGATAATTTTTTCCACATATATTGGAATATGGTCTTTTTGCCGCAAATATAGGAATATGATCATTTTTGCCACTATAATAGGAATATGATCATTTTTTGCCACACATATAGGAATATGATCATTTTTGCCACAAACATGGGAATCTAGTCATTTTTGCCACAGACATGGAAATCAAGTCACGTTTGCCACAATTTTAGGAACCTAGGCATGTTTGTCACAATGATGGACATCGCGACAAGGGTGCCACCAACATCGGAATCTGGGAATGTTTGACAAAAACATGGAAATCCCGATATGTTTTCCTCTGACGGGAAAATCTTTTGAATTCCGGAATCATTACCACAAACATAAGCCAAAAGCATGCAAATTACGGCATGGTTGACTAGAAATGTAAATTCCGACGTTTTGGCATTATTCATAATAATCCCGATCTGTTTGCCACATAATTGTGAATTTCAAGATGTTTTCAATAAGCATGGGGATTTGCTAGGGTGCAATGTACACAAAATTTTCAAGCATAAAACAAGTATGTTGCATGCATAGCTGCCATCGAATGAGTTATATTGCTCATCATGACTGCAGCTCATATGATTTTTTAGGGAAAATATGAAAATTTCAATATGATAACGCAACACTTGTGGAGCCGCGCTCTGTATTAGAAATCATGAACTTAACAAGAGGACGACTATAGGATTTTTGAACTCGCATGAATAATAATAATAGTAATAATAATAATTATAATAATAATTATAATAGTAATACTTGACTTGCTTAACACTCTCGACGGCAACGGCTGCTAAATTTTATATTCAGGCGTAATTATTAAAAATTTATTTAACAATCACCCAATTCTCTGCTTAGTTAAATGGCCATTCATCAGCCACCATTAATCAAACCATAAATTATATAACCAAATACATCAAGAATCATATTCAAGTCTGATGAATCTTATTGTTGACCATCAAATTCCCGATATTTGGTCGATTGGTGATAAGTTCCTTTCATTTTCGAACAAATGTGCCATAATAAACTCTATTAAAGTCATCCCAGGCTCATTTATGTGGCCACTCATAGGCTGGCAGTTCGGCCACCCATGACACTTCCCTAATTCCCTGCAAATATCGCTGTGGAGGTCAAATGAACAGCGATATGATGTAGTTCGTCTGACAAAGGGACGTGAGGCCGAGGGTGGGATTCACAACAGCCGCAAATGACGCCTCCTAGCATTCCTGAGGCCATTCCTACCATCCACGGCATTCCAGAGAAGATTCCTGGTCAAGAATTCATAAGCGACGAGCGTTCTCTGTTGAAGCTGTTTCCCGTATCAGAATTTATAGACGATTGTTAGGAGTATGAAACTACGATATGTGTGGCCACTCGAATGATCTTGATCGGCATTTATGTTTAGTAAATTGGTAATTAGCTTCTGTTTAGTAGTAAATGCTTGATGACAGTCGGTTAACCACTGCATTCAGTGACCTCTGTAATCCGTATATTTTTTCAGTGAACGAACTAATGTTCCTCAGAATCCATAAGCGGTAGCCGATTGTCGGCTTAGAATGGCCAATTATAGAACATCTGTAACTTCTGATATGTAATACATGTCTTTTTATCTCTAGAAAACATAACGAGTAAATGAAAGCAGCCGACCAAGTTAATCTCGCAAACAAAAAGCTGCTAATAATAATTTAAATAACAATCAAATTTCATTAGTTGTAGATCAACGCAAACCAATTGATCGAATGCACTCATTGCCCGATAGAAGAAGAAATATAATTTTATCGGGAATATATTTTTCCTAAGTCAGAAAGCAAAACTAGGTGAAGACTTTTGAATGAGTTTGCGATGCTCGTAAATAGACAAAGCTTCGACTTCCAGGTCTGTTTTTTTTCAGAACCGCAACAAGACGGCCTGCAAAATACAAAAATAATATAATTTCTTCAAAATCTCTGCTGAAACTTTTGTGTATTGATATATATTAGCAGTCATTACTTATTTTCTCAACAAATTTTGGCTATCACACCGTGGCTACACACAATTTTTTCCAAATTGGTTTCTGACCGTGATTTTAAGTTAACAGCATTCGAAGCGGATGGTAAAATTTTAACAATTGAAAGCAATAACAATGATGATGCAAATAATTAATATGTAGCATGATACGACGACTAGTGTAATGTTACCCTCTAAGTAACATTACAATTTCGTGCCAAAATGATAATGAGCCAACGGAACATTTCTGTTATCATTTACAAACTGGCCTCCCAGTCTTAACTCAGAATTTTGAACTAATGATCACTCAAACCTACAATGCCCTAGATTAATTTAAGAATATATAGTCTACCATCCGACACTCTTACACATCGGTGGTCGCACATAAGCCGGCCATTGACCGCCTATAAAGCGGCGATATTCTCTCACGAGGCTGAACACTAAGCGCTGTTAAATGGAGCATCGAGGAGCCAGGAGGGATGTTCCTCGAGGTGATACAAATAACCCTGCTACGTAATGACCGTCATTTGCTTCGATTTAATTCGTTAATTTATCAAGCTGGAAATGGAATGAAATAAGTCCGGTGCCAAAATTATCGCTGAGTTTTGCGTGATCACTCAACAAAGGAATTACTTATCAGTAATTGAACGGAAAATGTCGACGATAAATTTCAAAGATAGGGAACTATAATTATAAATATTTATAATAATAATGCAACCGATAATTAAATAACGACGCTATATTAGGAAAACTAGCGGATTGCGAAATAGACATAGGAGCAAATAAACAGAATGCGTTTTAATTAAATTGTATGATAAAATGAGTAGTCCTATATAAAGTTTCCAGCTTTGATCTAACTGAGATTATTTTCATAGATTGTAACACAACACCGTCACTTCAGTTCGATCAAGTTATCCAAGAAAGTACATAACTTATGTCATTTTCGATTTTCGCTTACACGGAGTCGTGTTCTAATGTTTCATAAACTTTTTAGCTGACACTATAGCTCTTTTAGCCCTTTTTTCTCATTCCATCACTGCATTTTGTCACGAGTTGAAGCATTGTTCTAATTAGGACTTCATCCACCATTTATGTTATCTTCAACCTTCCGATGAATTGTGTCTGGGAATTGAATTCTAAGTTCCAACAAAGTTTGCTTTGAGACAACTTCCTAGGACCGAACACCCATTCTCACTCACCCCACTCATCCACATGCCACTCACCCCTCTCACCCACCACAACCACTCGCCCACACGCCACTCACCCACCACACCCACTCGCCCACACGCCACAACTCTCTAAGTCCTCCTAATGACCGCTATCATTAGTAAATTGAATCAAGCGCGAGCTATGGCGATATATTAAGCACCAGCAGTCGAGGGAAACCTTCTCGAGTGTGAGACCTCCCTTACTGCGAAACCATACCAATCCTAATGTGAACTATACCAACCTCACTGGAAACCATACCAATCCTACTGGAAACCATACCAATCCTACTATAAACAATACCAATCCTACTGGAAACCATACCAATCCTACGGTGAACCATGACAACCCTACTGAAAACCATACCAACCCTACTGGAAACCATACCAACCCTACTGGAAACCATACCAATTCTACTGAGAACCATACCAATCCTACTGGAAACCATACCAATCCTACTGTGAACCATATCAACCCTACTGGAAACCATACCAATCCTACTGTGAAATA